AACCTCTCACTTTGTTCATCATTCTGGCCATACAAGTTCTGCTCTATGTTGACAAGTATCAAGTATCCTAGACTCCTAGTGTAGATTTAAGTCATTGTTAAGATCCTCAGTGATCTTATTGTTGACAAGAAATGTTGTTATCTCATGCAAGTTGGAAGACACAACCACATGATATTGCAATTCTGTCTCGGTCCCTCCATCTGCCATTTAATTTCCCTTTTATCACCAATCCTACATTTGAAGTTTCAATATATATATATATATACATATATATATATAAAGCATACTCTAGGCAAAGCACCAACATAACTCCATCTCTAAACCCTTTACTGCATCTTCCGCAAAGAACAAAAAATACTTTTCGGTACATTCTTTTGCTTCCTTTAACAACATTAGGAAAATGGCTATTCATATGGCTCGGATCATGCAAGCAAAACAACTTCTCTGACGATCTTTGTCAAATGAAACCCATACACCAACTATGGATGTACCAAAATGTAATTTACAGGACACTTTCTCAAAAAATGAGTTTATAGGACACTTTCTCAAAAGTGTCCTATGAAGTTGGTAATGTGACACTATGTATTAAAAATGTCCTAAAAAACTTGTTAAGAAGCCCAAAAGCGTCATATAAACTTATTACAACACCTTTGGATAGGACACTTTATATTTTGGTCCTATAAATAGGTCTATTGGGACACTTAGAGATTGGGAGTGTCCTATAAACTCAATTGTAGTGGCGATTGTAAGGAATGAAAAAAGGTGACTACTTGTATGATGATGTTTTTGGCAAGTGAGGTGATAATTGAAGTCTAGTACCAAACCAGAGTCTAGTTCCAACTCAGCTACCTTCTCAAGTACTAACAAGAATGATTTCTGCCTGCATATCTTCTATTATCATACAGGACTAATTTCTTTAACCCCTTGCCTGTACCAAGTTGGAGTAATCTGGTTCTGCAAGCATTTGATTTGTAACTCATGATAAACGTTCTGATGCAAAGTGTAATAATCTGTTATGTAGGTAATAGAGAAGGCAGCACCTGCAGTTCTGGACCTAGCAGAGATCTCAACTCTTGGGGATCATAAGAAGCTTGGAGATTCCATCCTCAATGTTCTCCAGGAATGCATTCAGTCACATGGGACAGGTCGCAACTCTGTCAGTAATCGAACAAAAGAAGACAAAGAAGAAATATTGCATTCGAGGGAGAGATTCAAATGGGAAAAGAGTATGCCTAAAGAGGATCTCCATATTAAACAAGCTGCAGCGTTGGTCGTAAAACTGGAAGGCAATTCCCTATTTTCATCAGGAAATATCTCGGGAGCAGCATCAAAGTACTCAGAGGCACTAGCATTGTGCCCGGTAAGATCTAAGAAAGAGAGAGTTGTGTTGTACARCAATCGTGCCCAGTGTWATCTTTTGTTGCAACAACCATTGGGTGCTATAAGTGATGCTACTCGTGCTCTTTGTCTTCATWRCCCGGTTAATCGACATGCCAAAAGCCTCTGGAGAAGAGCACAGGCTTATGATATGCTTGGTCTAGCTAAAGAGAGCTTGTTGGATGCTATTCTGTTCATAAACGAGTGCTCTCAATCAACAGATCCTGATTTGTCTTCTAGACAGAACAAAGTCCCCGACTATGCAGAGCGGTTGGTTAAGAAGCAGATGCATGCTGCTTGGTTGTTTAGGGAAGCTGCTATTAACATGGGAGCATCGATTGTGAGGCGGATGTTGGCGATGTCTATGGACAAGGGAGTGATGACTCTGAATGGGAGACTGCCAGTGAAAGTGATGTAGGAAATGATGGCAGAAAAGAGATGAGCCACAATGATGGTGAATGGATAAATGATGAGGGAATTACAGACAAGAATGATAAACATTCTACAAGAGGTACTGCCTCTTGGATCTCTTATGCTTGTTAACGTACTTCAACACTTTAACCTGTATGCCAGATGTCTTGCTCAGTGGAAAACTGTGTAACAATCGATTACATCGAACTTTCACTAGTAAATCATAAAACCATATTTAAAACAAGTATAAAACGTAAATGTTACGCTATGTTTCTAATACAGAATGCCGAAATATACAAATATAGAGATAGGAGACCATGCAACTGTTGTTTATTAGCTCTTACTCCTGTGAATGTGAAAATTCAGAATAAGGCAAAAGCTCAAGAGGACCAATGGCAGAACACATTAGAGTACAGACAAATTTTGACTTGTGGCTTGATTAAGGTGAGGTTGTTGCCTTAATTGATCTGTTGAATGTACAAAGTAAGCATGTTTGTAGTGTTTCTTTATAGTTTCGGTTTCAGTAAGATAAAATCATTATCTGGGAAAATCTATCAGCAACTATATACAATCGGATAAACCTATAATATATATGGCTTGCTTGTGCATACCCGTTACCATCATTCAACAAGCTCATCACATAGGCCTTATGTTGTTAAGTATTTTTGACTCGCCCAACTTTAGGATCTCTGTTTTGATGAATATGTACACAATTTCAAGAGAATTTTTTCGCTGTTATCATTGAATTTCTCGTAATTAGGATTTCGTTTCTTTTAGTTTCTGTGGATTATACGTATAATCTTATTCCAGCCTTTTGAGTTTCTTTTGAGTTTTGATCATCTGATAATAGCTTGATCAGCAAATAACACAATTGGGGGTCTCATCATGAACAACTTTTGAGTAATATGGTGTTGGTGGATGATTATATTGATAATATATTAATATGGTTGCTAACTTGCTGCTGTTGTTGATAATTGTAATATGGATATGGTTGATGCTGCTGTTGATAATTGTAATATGGGCCTACTGATACAATATATGTATGACAAATCTTTCTGAGTTTAGACACAACTGTAACTGGATCCACATCCCCTGTTACAGTCAGTTTCTTGTCTTTCATGTCCATGGCTATTGAATCCACACCTGTTTTTCACCAAATCATTATCAAAGTTTGAATCTTTATGGTGATTTTAGATCTGGGTTTGCTTCAGATTAAACGATTTTGATGAATCAAGAATGGAGGCCATTAGATTTTTGCTGTACCTGGGAGACTGGAGACGTTTTTCATGGCCTTTTGTTTGACTTTCTCATTAAAGAAGTCCAATTTCAACACAACTTTCTGCAGTAGGTTAAAAGAAATACAAGGCTGTTTGTGTGTGTATATATTTGTGTGTGTGTGTCTGCTTCCTTAAGGCACACCTTGAAAAATTCCATGGTCTCGCCATAACTCGTAAAGCTTGAGGCTTGACCTCGCCGCCACGCTACGCCTCAGTCATTTAATCGTATTTTTGTTTACATAAGATGTTATGTAAGATGTATCGGCTTGTTTGTAACTTAGGGTGGATTTGAGTCATAGAAAAACCTTTAGAAATAACAAGTTGAGGTTGATGTTAATATGTCGAAAGTATGTAAATAAGTACTAGAACTTTAGTAAGACTTTTGGTTACAGTTGTGCTTCAGAATCCTATAGTAATGATAAAAAGGGATTGGTTCAAACGATTTTATGAAGACACACAACAACAACCATATCACATGTGATGATACGCGTGATAAGACCTGGTGGTCTGCAGGGGGCTTGGTTCCTGGATGGGTTTACGAGATTAAAAAACCCTTTGATTTTCAAACAGATCGAAATCGAACACATCAGCATTCTCATTTTTTAAAGATTTTGTTATGTGCACGACATTAAAACCAAATCGACATTTTTTTTAAAATTCCCAAAGCGCCTTGGTATGTATTTGTCAAATGAGAGAAGCATACAAAATGATCTTGAAAGAGCTTAAATTCTATATGTGGTGTGTGTGTGTATGCCTACATAAGATCTCAAATAAACACATTAACCCAAAAACTGAATTCTTACCAAGCCGTTTACCAAACAATTTACCCGGGTAAGCGCTTATCAAATAACATTACCTCACCGCATGAATATGATAAAGACCAAGAATCTTACCCCGTAAAAGCGAGACAAGGACCAAGAGTCTTACTCGGTAAGTAAAGGCGACGACTCTTACCATGTAAAAGGTGCTTAAACCACCAGAAATGTTTTCTAACCTAGAGGGCTGTTTGGCAATTGCTGAATGGTTTGGTGCAAAATGATTAAGAGGCTTTCATGATATAGTGCAAAATGATTAAGAGGCTCTCATGATATAGTGCAAAATGAAATATAATTGTTTGGTAATTGTGTACAATGAAATTAGGGCTCTTAATGGTTAAGGGAGATCCAGGATACAAAATCATTCAAAGGGTTTTAGAACCATTAAGAGACAGACTTTTTTTTTAACAAATAAGATTCATCTCTTAATGATTCAAAAGTTGCCTCTTAATAGAACTATTAAGAGGTAAACAAACAACCCTAATGTATGTTGTTGTGCATGTGAGGATCTTTGGTAACAAAGAGAAACAAAGTCTTAAAAATAATGTACTATTTTATACATAATTTTGAAAATCTCTTAAATAAAAGTTATAATAAATACAATACAAGTTATCTATGTGATACCATTTACTTCTCACTGATAACTTGTAAAGTATGTATCATAATTTATATTTAAGAGATTTTAAAATTGTGTACAAAACAATAGTATATTATGCTTAAAAGCTTGTTTTCAAGTCTTTCATAAATTTGTGCATAAAATAGCAGTACATTGTGCTTAAAAACTTGTTTTTAAGGCTTTTATGAATTTACTTTATAAGATAATATAAATATAGTTATAGATCGTAATGTATAGATATAGATATTGTACAAGTTACTTATGCAATACCAGTTACTTCTCAAAATCCCTCTTAGTAGCATGGGAATGGACTCTTATCTGTTGGGGAATCCAATCCACCTGTCCCAATCGGGGATGAGGACGAGGATCCCATTTGTCTCAGATCGGAGATAGGGATGGGGACTCCCCGTCATGTTCTTTACCTGTTATATATTAATTAATAAATTATATATACTATTTAAATAACTTGTATTGTATTTATTATAACTTTTATTTAAGAGATTTTCAAAATTATGTATAAAATAATACATTATTATAACTTGTTTTTTCTTAATAACTTTGTTTTTAAGATTTTTATAGATTTGTGTATAAAATAGTACATTATGCTTAAAATCTTATTTTTAAGACTTTTATAGATTTGCTTTATAAGACAGTACTAGTTGTGTACTCGCGCAATGCGGCGGGAGCAATGAATTTTAACGATTTTGAAGTTCCACTGGTTTTATAAGATAAGATTTAGAGATGATATAAATTACATTTGGTCTTTACATATGAATATAATTTGAATAAATAAGAGTTATGGTTTCAATTACAGACTATCGATGAAAATAATTGTATGACAGTTTAAAATCCAACATATTTAAGCGACTCCACAAATGTGTTCAATTTACACCAAGAAACTTGAGTTTTAAGATAAACACTCAAAACCAATAAAGAAAACTACAAATTT